CTTTCCAGTATTGTCATGTACCACAGAAATTGATTCAAAAGTTATTATATGATGATATTTTGTGAAAAACTGGTATCGTCTTCTAATACAGAAGATAAATCCTGGACTCTACTTGTTAATAAATGTTTTGTATCATTCAGTTTAAACATACAATCTCTTTCCAACAAGTTACAATGTTTTTACTACAGGTTTTCATCATATTTTTTTGAAACATATAAAATTTTCAATACAATTATTTTATAATAAGTTTCTATTACGTCAAAAGCCACAGTAAATGTATGTACAAGTGTTTTAATATCCTAAAGTAAAGGTTATCAAGAATTAAGCACAGTATGTTTGAGTGGAAATATTCATGGTTCAATGGAGACGTTTTATTTCAATCTTCTCATGTCCTTTAATGAATGTCACTCTCAAGGAAAAAATGAGAAATTCTTACAATCACCTTTGAGCGTCACCATATAGACGTCACGGATATATACGAAAATAAACAGAGATTTAAAATAATCATGTTTTTTTCTATAAAATTTTGCTTTATTAAGAATGACTTGTATATATTTAGAAGTACAATTATATATTTTGTTCTTAAAACACGCAAAACAAATATACCTTTCCTAAAATAAATTTAACAAATGCCATTTTGTAAGAGTCCTTTTTCTTGTGCAATACTATTATATTATAATAGAAACTTGAATAACTAAAGATCTTAGTATAATCGCATATAATTCGAAAGAAAATTATAAAAAACATTTTATGAAATCTGTTTTTGACTTCAATGAACATTTATTTTAATTGCAATTATAATTTTTAAGCAAATATAAACATTATTACTTAAAAAATAAGGTTCATTTAACATCTTTACACTTAATCTTTTACGCTATCGTTGTGATCTCCAAGTTGAAATTGTTTTTCGTACAATTACTTCATACATGCATAACTAAATATGAAAATAAAGATTCAATAGATCTGCTTACAATAAAAATAACGAATGAGAAATTATGTATAGTCATTTAGGTATAAAACCGGAGGCACAAATTTCTTCACCCCTCAAAACCGATTATGAAAGAATTAATTATAACTATGAGGCATCGTAAATTATGTTTTTGCAAATCCATTGACGTACAACTTGCGATATAATTTATCAAAATACAAACACCATAACAACAGCTCAAAATCATTAAACAAATGTTTGCAATTTGATAAAAGAAACGTTAATTAAGATGCAAATATTTTGCGTGAGAGGAAAGCAAAGGCCGGTTTTAAAAGGTCGATTGGTGTATTCTATTTTAAATTACATTTTATGATGTACTTTATGACTTGAGAATTCATATTTATGACTTATAGTCTTATGTAGTCCTTAATTAATTATAGTTCAGGATCTCTAATTTATTATTTTTGCTTAATAGTAGTGTTAGGGCATCTGAGATTAAATATTGGAAATTTGGGATCAAAAAACTAATATGGTTTTTGGATTCGATTGTCTGGTGTCAAATATATACACTCATATTTCCCGTGTAGTATAAGAAGATACTTTAAAAAAGCTGAATATTTTAGACGACTTTTTTATTATACACGCTTCTCAAAGTCGAAGTTATTTGCGTAAAATAGTATTCAAACCTTTCTATTTATTTGGAAGGCTGAAATAAGTAACAAATTTAATATAAAAAGTTTACTTAGTATAATAGAATCCGTATTTTTATTAGAAATATATTTTTATATGGTCATTGCTCAATGTGTTAATATGTCATAATGTTATCCTAGAAGGTCAAACAAGGTTCTTATGTATATTAGTCATCATTACTCATGGTCGATGCATTTGACCAGTTTTAGTAAGTTAAATAACAGTGCGATGACCCATTGAGAAAGTTAAAGAAATGTATACAATTAATATTTGGCTTGTAAATTATGTAGAAGCATGGAAATTCTCCTAGTTATTTTTGAATAGAACTGGTTATATTTATAATAATAGAAGTTGTTGTGCATATTAGAATAATGTATGTTTCGGTTAGCATTACGTATGTGTCTAGTAGACGGTTTGTTTGTTAAAGTATTAGTTGACAAACCATTGTATTCAGTACGAAGAAGGCAATATGAGATTATAACTATCCAAGTATTGTGAGAAAATTATCAACCGTTTACTTGTACATCCTTACCACAAGTTTGAATTAAATGCAACTTACGGAGAATTTTATTTTTGCGTTCATACTATTACTTTCAAAGTTTTATGCATCTATATTTTATAAGCCTAAATTTCTGACATACACATATATATGAAGCATATAAGATTATTTTATCATTTTTTTTGCTTCGTTTGTTTTCTGTACAGAAGTTTCCTCATTTATATTAGTATGATAATAATTTTCTTTCTTCTTCTTACAGATACACAACCAACCGAGGAAGAAGATGCTGACATTAGGATCAAAACTTTTTATTAAACAAGAGAATAAAAGACTACGCCACATTAACGATTGGCATTTTGTTGCTATATTATATAAACTAATATATTATATAATATTTTAGTAACATAAATAGGTTCGCCTACTTAAAATGTTATAAACTATCTTGTTTATGGAATACAAGATTATACTTTAAACAAATTTAGAATCATATTAAAATTTCATAATTATTCATTCTCAATACATTTTTTTAATTGTTGAAAAACCAAGACTTTAGCATTTTCTTTTGATGTTGTAATAAATACAATATGTAATAAATGGACTTAATCTATTCCATAACATATTTGTAAACAAAAATTGATTGTTTTATATTTATTTCATTGCCATTTTTTGTGCCATTAATGTTACGAGAAATCAGTTGATAATGTAGATGAAAAAGGGAGCTATTAATACCAATCTACTCTTAGTAAGAAGCTCAAGTGTACTTAAAATATTTTATTATTTATTTTATCTAGTATAGTGTATGTACGTGTGATTCAAGGTTCATTCTCAAATTTGCTCATACTTTTGTGGATAACCATACCTTTATATGAAGAACCTCGTTTTTAATATATGAAATATATGTAAAGTTTCATACATATAATTTAAAACTTTGATGTTGTAGGAAACGGCCTCAGACTTAGTTATGACCATTGCAATGTTCTGTCTTTTTTCCAGACGTCTCAAATGTACTTTAGTTGAACCTAAAATTGCTATGGGAAGTTATTTTAAATATTTATATAATATCAAAATTACTTTTTAAACCACCATTGAAAGAGCTAAGTTCAATTGATAAATGTATCCTATAAACCAAACTGTTCTTTTAACTAGAATTTTCTGTAAATTATTTGATGTGAAATTGTAATTCATGGTTTTCTGAGTAAAGAATATATATAAAAGTATGAATAAATTTAATTTAACATATTTAATTTTTAAAACACGTATCTGTCGTCTGGAACTCGAATCACACTTAAATATAAAAAGCATTTGACCATGGACATTTGTTAGAGTAATATATTTGTGTGTGTGTTTATGTATGAAAAAAAATTGTGTAATATTATAAATTGGCATCTTTTTAATATGTTTTTGACAAAAAACTATAAATTTTTATTTAATAATTCTTATATTTAAAAATATTTGACACTGAATTTTTTTTGTAAGAACTTATTAGATTCAATATTTATATTGAGAATGTATATTTTTTTTTACAATAAAATATTACCTCCAACATATTACTTTGTGTTATCATTTCCTTATCTTTCTTAACAGTTTCGTGACGCGTATATCAGTTTAAATGTTCAACACGCTTTGGTTTCGCATAACTACAGAGAAAATAAATCAGAAGAGGCAGAATGCCTTTATTTACTCTTTTTTAAATAAATATGTTAAGATCAAATTGTTTGATCACAAACATCAGATGAGATGAAAATGTATCTATATAATATAAAATATGTATAAAAATATATATATGTAAAAATGAATTGCTGTTCGTTACTCTCACTAAAACTCGAGAACGGCTGAACGGATTTATCTTATCTTAGTCTTGAAATGTTCATGGAGGTTCAGGAAAGGTTTAAAAGCTGAAAAAAAAATTATTCATTTCCGGGAGAACCCTAAAAAGAGCCCTTTTCTATTTCCCATACAAAGGTTTTTTGACATTAGATTTGACAACTATCTATCTACTCGTAATATGTCAATCATTCTGTTCGATTGCAACAGGAATAATTTAATAAATACCAATACCTGGTTATTTAAGACGGAAAAGAGTTCGCCCGGTCAGCTATACATATATTATTAATTTACTTGACGAAATTAACGAAGACGAAGTCGCGGGCAAAAACTAGTATACAATATACAAAGATAGAACTCTAAATAAAATCTCTGAATAATGGATCTTTGTAAGAAAAAATTACTTAAAAGAACAAGAAGTACTTTTTTGTAATGATTTTAATAGTTTTCGAGATAATCACTAGTTAGACTTATGTGTCATTAAGAAGCAATATCGTTATATACTTTACTTCAATTATGTTTAGTTTTACTCTTAAAGTTAGTTAAATTTAGTTTTACTCTTTTAATATTTACACTTAATTTAAATTGGATTACAATAAACAAGAGTCGGACATATGTCTCTCAAATTCACGATAATTACAAAGCAATAACGCTGCCTTGGATAAAATTGTCATCTATGTAGGAAAAATTTTGTAAATAATGTTTTATTTTTAATTAATCTGAACGAAAATAGCAAATGACGTAGATATTGAGTGACTAGAACTTCTTGCTATCGGCCAAATAAACGTTGTGAATGAGGTTTCCGCACGAGCTGTGATTAACAAGGCACTATTATCGCTACGTTTTATTGACTACAGCGTATGTAAGCCCCATTGGGCTTGACATTGTCATGACTCTTTTTGCCCACTGAACATTGTACTGATGATTTATAAATGTCAACCCATGACCAAAAATCAGTAAATATTTTGTAACTATAACAATGTATCAAATTCTCTTTGAAATGTGTGGAAAATAAATGTAGAAATAAAACAGAAAGATAGAGATATATCTATAATTTACACGTAGTGAGCCCTGGTCCTATACAGGAGGCATATGCTAAGGCATGAGGTATAAAATTTTGTTCATAATTGCCACTGAAGAGATGAGCCCATGGGCCGTGGGCAAAGACAGCCACGTCTTCACCACCGTGGGTCTCGCGAGGTATTGGAACCAGCGATGGATATGTGTAATTAAGGTCATCTGTATAAAATCAATACACATAGTTAGGATAGCACAATGTTATAAGTATATTTCAAGGAAATTTAAAAAGTTAATACAATAAAATTGTAATTTTTTTACGAAACTGTATCTAGTCGTTAAATAAAGTAAGATACAAGAAATAGCAACCTCGTTGGGGTTATTGCAAAAAATAAACCATTAATATTAGATAATGAATTAATATTTTCAATTAGATTTATCAAATCCAAATAGTACTTTTAGTTTGTATTCCTATTAAAAGTTATTAAGAAATTATATTTACGTGTTTTAAATATAAAAAGAACTAAGATATGAAGATAAACAATACGTATAAGTGTTTCTTGCGAAAATTTTCATTTGTTTATCAATCCTTTTATATTCACATAAAAGATATGTATTTTCTAAGAAATAAATGGATCAATTGATATTGTAATGTACGTATTAATAATTTGCTCTAACAATTCTACAGGCTGTTTCGTAGGTTATATGAAGAATACGTACTCATATTATCAAACATAAGATTATGTCTGAAATCCGTTCTCGCCATCGATCCCGGACCGTTCGCGTAGCTCAGGATGGTGTATGGCAGGTTATCAGATGCGTTGTACTGGAAATAAACTCATAATATCATTTCTGTATTGAAAGTCACGTATGTGAGTTCACTTTAAATTTTGTTCAATGTATGCTTAACAGCGAACTTTTATTGCTTAATTATCCTTGAGTTCGGAAACAGGAGATTGTTTAGAATAATGAATTATAAACATTTTATTACGAAGCTCGATAAAATCTTTTAATTTTCGGGAAAGGAATTATTTAATCAAAGATTATAAGTGATGACTTATTAGTAGATTGAATCAGGGAATGAGTAATGACGAATTTGATGTCTGATAAATGGAATTATCATACAGGAAACTACAATTTACCCTGGAGTGTTAGATAAGATGTAAAATTATGAGAGGGTCTGGTTCATCCAATTTCTATTTACTTTTGATTTTGGTTACTTCCCAATAAAAATCAAGTACTTAAGTTATGAATATCTCACGGAACGTGTTAGTATTTTAAAGAAGTCATTCTATTTAAAAAGGTAACAATGTATGTATGTACTTGTTAAGAAACAAATGTGAAGTTACATATGATAAAATATTATGAATCATCGATGAACGTACGTTTCAGTTATTGACGATAACCACGATTTATTTAAATTTTCTAGTAAATATGACCTAAGTAGGATGAGTGATAAGAATAAGAAAATTGCATCCATGACATTTTTTTAACCAATATTTTTTCAAATTATACTTTGTTTGGCTTCGAAATTATTGTGGTATGGTCTAGATATTACATATAACAATTAATATCTACTTACTTTTGCGTTAGCAAATCCTAATATATCAGATCCTCGTTTGCTATAACCACTATAGCTCATTGTATGGCTGTGATCTGAAGTGACTACAACTAGGGTTTCTTCGATGTCTACTATCCTCAATGCAGCTTCAACAGCTTTAGCTAATTCAGCTGTTTCGTCTAACGCTTTACGCGCTTTGGTTTCGTGATGTGCTGTATCTATCCTACCACCTGAAACAAAATAACCATTAATAATCTAAAGGTTAATGACCTGTTGGTGCAGATGTAAATAAATTGTTAGTTTTAATTGTTACCTTCAACAAACAGGACAAAACCTTTTGTGTTCTGCGACAGAATTTCAATTGCTTTTTGAGTCATTTCGCTTAAAGTAGGCTCCTCATCACCGGCTTCAAGGTGATAAGACATATGATCAGAAGCAAATAGACCCAATACACTGCCATATTTATTATTCTCTAAATTTAAAAGTTCTTTTCTACTGTATATGTATTTGGGATAAATGCCAAGACTTTCTTTCTTCACGAGCCATTCTCTTATCAAATTTCTGCCGTCATTTCGGTAGCCAGAATGGCCATTTGAATCAATTTCACTTCGTGGCATAAAATTTTTTCTTCCACCTCCGAAAACTACCTGTAATAGAAAAAAAAGTTATAATTGAATATTAGATTCGATAAGTAATGATTGGAAATCGTGTCATGACTACCGGGAAAAATTCCCAAATACAATTATAGTACGATTTCAATGTATTTTACAGTCATTCGTTAATATTGTTGTCAAGGTCATGAATTTAAGTTTCCTAGTACTTTTATAAATTGTAAAACATCGTAACATTTCTATTTATACCGTGAAGAAATATTGTAAAATAATTTTATACTTCAAGGAATACGGATGTATTTATTTGACGCGGACACCGACATAACAACTTTCACGCATTAAGATCTCCTCAGTTCGTTGTGTATTACTTCCTTTGGCTTCACGTTAAATGACATTGAACTATTTGAATATAATAATCCAATCACATTCTATTATTATATAAACTGAGAGTTACAGTCTCATATAGTCCTTCACTCACATATGACTATACATTATTGAATATAAAGAACTACGTAAAAACCAGGATTTATAAGAATTACTACGCAGGTTTTAAGTGTTTTGTTTTGTATTTTGTTAACATAATTAGGACTATCCTTACAACTATGTTTTATATGTTTTCTTTGTCAAAATTGTAATCCCGTAAAAAATTATACATTAGATATTTAAATCGTTAATGATGGTTTTATATCAATATCAAAAATAAGAGTGGTTCTAATGTTTGTTATGCATCTATCCTTACATTAAGGCCGCTGCCGACTCTGCCTCTGACAAGTTGTGACGCAATGTCCTCGCATTTCAAACCTCGTGTAGGTAAATCCGCGTCCGCTTCCCACTTGCGGTCCGCGGCGTGCGCGTACGCAGCTGCCGGAGACGCGTGAGTCACCCTCGTGGTTGTCACTATACCTGAATCAATAGTTTGATATATGGTTAGCAGTTTTTTAATTCGATATTTGATTATAGTCGATTTTTTTATCTATGACTAATGTTGTCTATAAATATTTGACAAATTCAAGAGTCGATAGCTGTTTCTTAATCTTGGCGCCAGTGACTAATGCTATATAGTATTTAATATTAAAAAGGTTTTGTTCGCACCTCCCCTCATAAGTAGAACAAACAAACAGTTGTTTATAATGTTGTTATACGGCCTTACGCGGACAACTTTTTGTAAACTTAAGAACAGAAATCTCTGGAGTACAGTTTGCTACCCTTACTTACAAGTACAACACTTAAAGCAACCTAACTCGTTGATAGCTGTAAGTAGGTATCAATCTCACCTGTGGATTTGCCAGCTTTTTGAGCCCAGTCCATCAAACCAGTGACAGAATGAATACCATCCCGCTGACCAGCACAGTCCCCCCTCTTTACTGCTCCACTTAAGCCAAGAGTTCCACTATTAGCTTTAACTCCTGACAGATAAGCTGTGCCGCTGCATGCAGAATCCGCAACATTATGGTCAACGCAGTAAGTCTATAAATAATATAAAAGTAGTAAAGAAAATATGTTGTAATACATTATTTTAATTTTTTTATGCCGTCGATAGATAGTGCGATTAAGAAGCAGTAGCCTTTTAACAATTCTACTTAAAAAGTCGTAAAGCTGACAAGATCTAATATTTTTAATTTGTGATAAAAATTGCTTATCACGCCTGATATAAATCATCTTTGTTCTACAATGGTGTTCAAGTTATATGAAAGATGGAAATTAAAAATACACAAATTTCATGAAACTTTGTAAAATTTACAACAAATTTTGTTTGCACTGGGCAAAAGACGATATTTTTAATAAGACTTTTATTAAATGCGAATATACATCCATAAGTTTTGTGTCCTATAATGCAGATGACTATTAATAAATGAGCTAGTATTTTAATGTACTTAATTCTAAAGTAGTTTGTATCAGAAATTATAAATAGTTTTAAGATAACTTCTCATTATTGTTTATTAATTAGTTTCCAGTCTCGTTATGTTCATTTCCAAAAATCTCTAAACGATACAAATAATATAAATAGTCAAACAGGCGATAATTAATTTAATTGTTTTACCGATAACATTATTACGACTGTGGGAATCATTTTATTTATTTTGTGGATATTAAAATGTCAAATACATGAGTTAATTTCACATTTTTTTTCTATTGGTCAATAAACTAAACTTAAAATGTAAATTAGAACACCAAAATTTTATGATTTTTCTAATAATAATACTAGCTATTGTCGGCTTCTTCGGTTTCAGAATTAGAAATGTATATCGAACCATGCGAACTCTGTTACTCCTTAAAGATTGTCAATTGTCAACTAAGCCTGTGCAGCCGTTTTTAAGTTACAAAAAGTGTAAGTAACACGATTTTCTTATATATACTTACATACGAGTATAGATAATCTTAAAAAATCAGCAAGTTTATTGTTAAATACGAATATATTTCCTTATATAAATGCTAATTTTTGTTTTACGAATCAGATAAATAAAAAGTACCTTCGCTAGTCCAGTATAAGGAAAGCTTTCAAAACTAAGCTTCAGTTCTTCACCATTGTGTCCATACTGTCCTCCCAAGTAGACTCTCGTGGCAGCCAGCGTTGTGATGCTCATACCATCACCGAGGAAAAGAATTACATTCTTTGCGACTTTTGTGTTTTGTGGAGTTGAGAGCTGTAAAGTTAATATTCAAAGGATCATAAGTACTCGACTGGATTTACTTAAATTAAAATGAGAGTAACAGAACCTTCAATAGAAATGTCATCAATAAAACAAATATTATCTTGAAATTGGAACGGATACATAGTTTAACTTTTGTAATATTTGATTTTTTTTTATGTTAAAGGGGGCAACCGAGCAGACGGCCTACCTGATGGAGGTAGTACCGTCGCCCATGGACATCCGCCACATAAGACATGTTGCGGATGTGTCACCACCCTTGATTTGGGAAGAGGGGGAGGAAAAATGGGAAGGGGAGGAATAAGGGAAGGGGTAGGAAAGGACGGAAAAAGGGAAAGGGCAACCGGCTCTCTAACTCATCTTCTGTGAGAGGGTGGTACCTCCCCGGTCGAGCCAGCCCACGTTCGAGCTGCAATCACTTGACCACAGCTAGGCTCTACCACCGATAAATAGATCTATTGTAATTTTTTAAAAGATATTTTGTTAGCTCTATGAATGTTTACATTGTTAATTATAAACAATTATATTTGCACATACCTTTGACCGTAGCGTCCATTGTGCTTGTATCTTCCAATGATCTTTGTTCTTCTCATCAAATAACGTTCTAGTAAACGAATCTAAAAACAAATACAAATATTAATACATTCTTTTGTGTCCAAAAATTTTCTATATTTAAGTTTGTTTATTCTATTTTAAAATATAATAACCTCAATTATATCTGTGGATACTATTTATACAATTGATTATATCTCATAAACAAATAATACATGGTTTTCATTTGCATTTCATTTAATTATTATAGTAAAAATATGGTAAAACTTGCCATATTAGTAGAGTATGAGATCTATAATATAAGTATGATAGGAATGTTCAATCATAATTTTTATCTTTGGATAACACAATCAATTAAAGTATTATATATTTGGTTCTGTACAAAGACTGCTAAGTTAGACGATAATTCTATATTACAAATTTCTTATTAAATCATGTACCTAGTCTCTATTCTTGGAATCAACTGTCTGATAAATACAAATGTAGTCTGTTTTTTTAATCTATATATTTAATTGTAATATTTTCTTTCTGTTCCTATTGAAGGCAGTTTATGTAAACATTTTCTTTCCATAACTGGAAGACCAATAATCATTATATATCTCGATTTCTGTGTGTTAACTACTGAGTTACGTTTCCTTCAATGACTGAAAAGATCTTAAACAAGACGTATTATGGCTTATCTGAAAGAAATTAAAATATTCCTATTTTTTATAATTTTTATATTCCCATTTGGTCAAATCAATATCGGAATAAAACAGTATTACTTTTTTTGCCGGACCCATCGTCAAGTTTACTTAATTTTCTTCATCCAGATATGCCATACGGAAGTCTAAGCAATTATAATTTCTTGTCTTCAGGTGAAACATCTGGTCGATTATTACTTTATGAAAAAGTAATTGTAACTACAATTATACATAGTATTATATATAGTTCGAATATAGTGATATATAATACCACCATGAATATAGTTAATGTATTGCCAAACTCTGTGTACGTTTCCACACTCAGTTCAAGGCTATTGTCAATAAGAAAATTAACGACCGTTTCAAAATATCGGCCAGTTATCTATTACGTGGGGTTATGTGAAAGCGGACCTTGACCGATTAGAATGATAAACAAGTAATCAAAGAACGCTATTGTAAATAAATTTGACAAAAACTAGTTATGGCCCTAAAGAAAACATCAAATTTAAATATATCGCACGTTTTTAATTATTTCAGTAATTAACAGGTTGTCTGATATATATCTTGGTTGTGAATGTTTTACTTGAGTTGCACAAGTTTGTATTGGTCGGTGACCAATCAGAACACCAGAACAGTATGCAATAGGTGTTTCTGACCTCCAGTGATGAGTGGCTTACCTACATCATGGGTCATTTGCATTATTTTAATTTAAGCAGTACATCGAACCAGGTATTTGTATTGATTGTCAAAACTAAAGGTTGTATCCAATGAATATTTTATTTGTTTAAATTTATTCCTGGTATTATTTATTGGATATTAATAAATAAAAAAAATAAACCTTACAATATAACTTTTATTTTATATACACTTTTTCAACTATTTCATTAATATTGTAGTGTAAAGTTAACACCGTTGAGTGGTTAGAATCAATATTTTATGCTTTGATATAGCATTCAAAACTCTCCATTTATTATAAATGAGATTAAATTAAGTTGAATTTCTTCGAATGATTTGGATTATGGTTCAAGTAAGGTCAATGGAAATTGTTATAAATAAAAATATGGATAAAATATGTATTATTTTTTTTTATATAAATTTGTTTAACATCTGTCCTTTACGCCCTACATTTCCATAATTAAATCGCCACGGCTGATTGGAGCTAGAGGTAATATTATTTTCAATAGATTTAAATTTGATAACAGATTTTATTGTTCGTTGGAATTTTATAGAAATAACTAAAATATTTTAAATGAAAATAGAAGACCTATTATTAAAGAATTGTTTGTTATTTAGAATCCGATTTCAATTAAAATGATGAGATCATAATAAATTTAGTACATCTCTTAGTACCTTTCCTTCTAGTCAAGGCTATTTTTCTCGTGATTTAACCTATTGTAAATTTATTCAAATATAAGTTATATAATAATAGAATTTTATATCTTTAAAAGATATTTCCAATTAAACTTAAAATTCAATGAAATCTATAAGCCTCATTTTTGTTTCTATTTTTCTAAAAACAGAACGTAGGTACAAGTAACTGAATATCGTGACTTATTATAGGTATTCTTATTTATAAGTGACCAATTTTAACTATCAATGGCAGCACCTACAATGAGAACAGAATAATAGAATGTTGATGTACATTCATAATAATTAAATTCCCACATTTGTTCCCAATTACCACATCTCACTAAACACGTCAATTGTGTCTACTTATTTGTTTAATATCTTTAAATGATGAGAACATTTTTAAACCTTAAATGTAATTCCCAAAACATATATTGTTACTGCAATTCATAAATTACTTCCTGTAATATTACTCTAAAATGTATTTGTTAAAAGAAAGTAATGTACATATGTATAAATATAACATAATGAGATCTAAAATTTTCACGAGTATTTATTTAAATAAAACTAAAAATTTTCGATGTACTACGCGATTTGATTTTTGATAAAAAACTACATGCTCCCGACGTTTCTGTAAAGTACAGCAACCGTGATCACTTCGTTTTTCATAATAAGAGACTGGCCTAAAATATACATCAAACGTTAGAATACCAATTATAAGAAGTGAAATATTTTGTTAACAAATCAATGATTAGATAGTAAGCAAATAAACTAATTAAGGCAAGATCGATGTTTAAAAATTCTTATCTAAAACTAAGAATTATGATAACACTGAATTTGTTTATACAATCACGTTTAGTATACAATTATACGTTTAATATAGAAGATTTTGAAATCAATATAGTGCAAATCTTGTAAACTAATTATCTCTGATTCGAGTTTTAGACGCAATAGTTCCTATGATTTTATAATCGTTGTTTGTAAACTTTCACTTTGAAAGCCCTAATGAGTAAACATTGTAAATAAATATTAAGGGTATACGTTTCTTTGACAAACCTTCTAAGAGTTTAAGAGTTGTGAGTTATTAGTTTAAAATTATGTTAATATATTTCAAGAATCATTAAAATCCACTAGGAATCAGAAAAAAATATTCGTTCTTAACATTCCTAGTGCTTTTTAAATAAAAGTTATTCATATATGTGGGGAAAGAATTTTTATGTACATACATATATACGTAATCTATGTTTAAAAGTAACAATTTTAAATATGCTCCGGGTGACTATGACTTTTATTTTTTATTATTTAGTTACATTATTATAAATTTTATGTGAAATATAGGCATAGTATCAATCATAAATATATGATTTTCAAGGAATTATGCTTTGAAGATATCAGAAAAAATAATTTAATATATATGTAAAATCGTTTTTTGTACGTGTTATAGATTTCAAATGTTTTTATATATTTTCATGATCAAAACTAATACTCATTACGTTTTCAATTCATTTCGCAATATGTTTGTTGTGAGAAAATTCGGGGAAAGCGTCAAAAACAAACGAGAATAATTATTTAAATAAAAAGAGATTAAAATATTGAAGCACCCGAATGTGTACGAAAAATAATTTCTAAAGAAAAATTCATATTATAACGTAGGTTCTTTAATATATTTATTTCTCTATTAAATAATTTTCATTTCTGTTAAGAGTAACAACTAACTACAAAATATTCATAATTGTAATATTTCAGTTTAATTCATATTTCTAATGGATATATACTTACTTTTATTACTATATACAGTTCTACCACTTGCGTAAATAACACACACAAACACAACACAACTATATAACCACATTGTTCTTTGTGTTAAATTATTACGGAAGATGTGTTATATATTCAATTCATGTTTCACTTATATATATAAATTATTAATTATTCAAATCTACTGTTCAACGGTTGCCATGACACTGGCGGGAATGTTCCTTTCAACTTACTTAAAAGTGCAATATCCGTTGGACACTGTACTGATTGGAGCTGTCATTGACACTATAAAATTCTATTCTTTGATTTTGGTTGCTGAAATTACTTTTATAAGTAAGATAACTCTTATATTCATAATAAATATTATGTTCAAAATGTATTGTTTTATGTAAAAATATAAAGAGTCTTAAATTATATTCAATTTCTAACTCTTTAAATATTTCTAACTCTTAAACTTCAATTTAACTCTTTATGTCAGTAAAGATACGAAGGAAAAAATATTATAATATTTAGTTTTATAATAATCTGTAGCGACTCCATACTTCTAATACAAATTTTTGTCTATACAAACATGTGCGTGACTATTGACACGACACGCGGGCTTCATCTGCGTTAACACAGTTTAGGGTTAACATTAAACACAAGTAAAAAACATTTCCCAGAAACTGTTGATATATAAAGATCAATTTCTTAGGGGAAGCCCTATATTACTTACAAAACAAGAGTAAAACATTGAACTACTACAATAAATTATTCCAATACGAACTACTTTAAAAGGTTTTAATTTAAAAGTAAATTGATTTTTGTTCATTTCAACTAAGTGATAACGAAAAAAATTTACCTAAATAACATCACTGTATCTATTAATTTTCAGTTCGATATAATACACTTGAATTTTAATTTAAGTATTTTGTTAAATATTACCTTATTGTAAAAAACATTAGAATGGGACAGAAAAATAATGTTTTGCGTCTGAGAAATCTACGTAATCTTTTTTTGTGTTCAAAATTATACTTATCTTAATTATATCGTCTTATTAATATATGTATATTAGATATAATTCTTTTATTATTTGTTTACACCCTTACAAACTATGTTGCCGGTTTGCCGGTTTATACATATTTTCTCATTTTATTAAATTTTATAATGTGTTCTTTTAACATTTCCCACGCAATGTGTACATAGCTTTATAATATTATCGACTTATTGTTTGTTATCATTTTAAATACATTTTATTATAGACGTGGTGAAAATATATCAATTAAATTTAATATAGAACATAATGAGATCTAAGACTTTCTTGAGTATTCATTTAAATTAAACTAATATATGTATTTTGCATTTAATCGTGGTGGCCTAGTGGTTTAAGGTCCGCCTCTCATGCATAAGGGCGCGAGTTCGATCCTGACAAGTACCAATGTGATATTTCCGAGTCATATGTACTTTCTAAGACTATTTAGCCACTACTGAAGAAATATATCGGGAGGAAACCTGCACTTATTTATTTACTTATATAATTTCAAATTGTACGTTTGAAATCACCAACTCGTCTTGAGCGAGAGTAGTGATTAATACTCAAATCTTCTCTATGTAAGAAGAGGCCTTTGCTCAGCAGTAGACTCTGATAGGCTGATGATGATGATTACGGTAGCTGAAATGTAACCGAAACGTCGCGTCGGGTAGTATGTAGTTTTTACAATAATAAAATTCGAAAAATAATAAAAAAGTATTAGTTTCCTCTAATAGATATAACAATTTTACTTAAGAAATGTCTTTTTGACGTGTACAACTATTCATTAGTTTTTCATACTAACAGCTGACCGTGACTTCTTTAAAAAAGTATGTTAAGGTATAAATATATAGTTGAATGACCTTCGTCATAGTTTTGTACTGAAATAATAAATAAAATGTGAATTATCCAACGGACATGCAATCATGTAACAGACGGTAATTTGTAAAATTTTTAATCAGAAAATTATATTTTGTATTTATCATTATTCAAATTAATTAAGCAGGAGATGGAGTTTATTTCTTATGAACCTTACAATAAAATTTAAAATTAATAAAAAAATATATTATATCATACAAGGATAGCCCTAAATTATTTTAGTTATATGTATTTTATTTATGTCTCTTTTGAAATTTGAGGCTCAAAACCCATCTCGTTCCGAAATCCGACTCCGTCAGTGCTAAAATATACTAATTTATCTATTAATTTTTACTAATAAATAATCTATAATACTACGTCTGTCTTCAGAGCCGGGAATAAATTTCCGTACTCAGTGAATAGTCTACTAATATTCTTATTACAGTTAATAGAAGGAAATTAGTTCAATTTGATTATTAAATTACTGGAAACATGAATAATTATTTTGTTTCTCCTTTATATCCTCTTACAGACATTGTTTGCTAAGAGTTTTACTTTTGATTAGAATTATTGAAACCATAGACAATATTGTATTAAAGACGTTGTTGTAAAAATATTATTAACACATTTTTCCAAAGTTAGGCTAATGTTACACATGCTTTAAATAAGCTTACTAAAGGCATGCTATTAAGTATGCTCAATACAAGCATGCTGGGGAGCCGTTTACATTTGCGGGCAATAAGCATGCTCCTGAATAAACATGCGAAAAGCAAACTTTCCAAATAAAAAATAATGTTTTTTTTTATAGCTTGCTTTTCTCGCTCTTTGTCAGTTCAAACAAAGTCATGGATGAAACAGTTATCCGTATGGAGATGAGTAAGACCATCCTTTTGCTGGCGATGCAATGCATCCAGAAGTTTATATCAGATCGCCAAAAACAGAAAAGAAAGAGAAAGATTGGGGTCCGTAATTGGATATTGAGAAGACAGAACTTGGGACCAAGTGCTCAATTACTTACAGAAATACGAGGAGACGATGTATTATCTGTTGCAATTGACTGATTGCTACTGGCATGCTTAATAAGCAAACTTGTTTAAATGTGATTATATCAAGCCCCCTTGCTCCCGCGCTGCTAGAAGCATGCTTAAAAATCGCACGCCTGTCGATTTTAAAGCATGCTCCAAATAAGCATGCTTATTTTAAGCAACATTTGTACTGACATGCTAGTAAACAGCAAATGCTCAATTAAAGCATGCTTTCGTGCTTGAAATAAGCATGTGTAACAGTAGCCTTATAATACATGTGATAAATCAACGTCTTATACAGATGTCAAAGAACTTGATAGGATGAGAGTGGGATCAATTCCTTATATTTCATATAAGCTATAGACTACTTCTACAGGGGTTGAGTTCAATCACTCAAAGTCAACAAGCCATGTATATTTGACATAACTTAACAAATATACACAACTTTGGACATTTTTATTTGTAGTTATTTTATCGTTATTTTCTATGAAAATATTCTTGTTGTTCACATTCTTTATTTTGTTATTAAAAGACACGTAGACTATTTATTATTAACGTTCTGATTATGATGAAATTAGTGAAATGAAAATGTTTTATAATATAATTTACATATGTTTAATCAAATATTTATGTTTTAATTTTATTTGTAATGAAATTGAAGGAAGTTGTTAGTTTCTAGGAAAAAGAGAGTATGTTTTGTGATCGTGCAATCTTTGGAGGGCATTATATGTGTTGTATATTTTACCGAAAATACTTCCATATGTATTACAAATCAAATCTTATTTTTATAAAATCAAAACACATACATTTTGTATAATTTATGAAATTTCATACTATCAGTTATCCATTTATAATAATAAAAAGATTTTTATAGGTTGAGATATAATGAAAATTGAAACGGGCACCTTTCGGTTAATTGAAACGGTATTTCCCAAAAATAATTAATACTTTCAATGTAAGGAACATTTAAATGACATTGACATTCGACTTTTATGTTATACCTACTAGCTGTTGCCTGCGGCTTTTCCCACTTCAGAGACCGGCTTGAAGATATACATCACCGCCGCTATGAGGATTTATTCGATCCTTTGAAGAACTCTTTATGAGATCCTGGCTGCCTGCATAAAGGACTAAACCATATGACAACACATTTGATAAAAAAAAGTAGGTGAAAGTCCCGTAAAAATCGGTCCGAATCCGTCAAGGTTCCAGAGATGAACCAAAACAAACAGACATACACATCATATCGTATATACTTTCATCTGCTTTTAGTGAAAAGAGTCAACCTTGAAATTACAAACAATTTATTAGTATGTATATGCAGTACAGATATGATTATAAAAAGATATGTATGTGTGCGCATGTGCTTGTGTGTGTACATTTTTTTTTTTTTTTTTTTTTTTTTTTGTTATCGCGGTGAAAGGTTTTATACCTACCCCTCCGTCTAGGGGAGACAGAGGCGGTTATGTGGGATTCACGGCCAGAAGGGCCCATGTTACCCACTAAAACACCAGCGGTCACTCTCCGGTGCCGCCAAGTGGGTCGCCACGGGAAACGCCGAAGCATGCATCCGCGACGATCCGGCGGCGGGCCGCGAACGGCCACCTCCCCCCCCGAGGGCTCACTCCAAGTGACCAGGAGTGTCCCCCCGCCTGGCGGGCTTGCTTAATCGCGAGAGGGTTAACCCCTTACCCCTCCCACCCAAGCCCACGCGGCCAGTCTCCAACCACCCACCGACGAGCGCAAGCGCCCGACGGCAGACAGAGAGGAAACCGACCGACCACAAGCGAACTCAGGCCTCCGGAGAGACCCGAGTATCCCCTCCCCCCCAAGACAGCCACGGACGGCCTCCTGCCAGATCCGTGACCGTCTTACTCCCAGGGCTGTACCCCCAGCCCTCCCCCCCGTGACTGATTGCACCGGAATACACCAGTGGGCGATGGGGTCGTCACGTCCCGACGCCGATCTTGTGTGTGTACATACATATCTATATATCAAGATAAATAATTCAAAATATGCGTAAAGTTTAGTGCAGGCTGTGTTGCATTTAAAAGCTGGTGTCATATGAATTGGCTACTAGACCATATGTCACTCACCTTAATAGGTACCAGCTTAAACATTAAATAAAAGATTATATTTATATAATAGAATCAATTTTTATGGTTATACTGTAGTTAAAATTTACGTTTTTTAAATTATTTGCTTAATTATTATAAAATTTAGAAGCTTTAGACCCAGTTTCACCAATCAATGTTTGTTTAATCTAAACACAGCATTTACTAACCATCCTTCAAAATTATAAATGTCTGTTAAATTATTTACGTCCCACGATGACAAATTAACAACGCATTATTAAACGTCATGTCAAATGACCGACTACCAAATTATTCGTTCTTGTTATAAGACGACCAAATGGAAACTATAGCGTTTAGTACGGCACGTTTGCCACGATGCACCACTTTATACTTTGATCGTATGTATCCCTCGATACGTCACTTGTTAGGTAATGCGACCAAATCTTATATATCGTTGGTTGCATACATTTGGCACGCAAAAAGTTTTTTTTTTTCAATTTACTAGGTGTAACCTGTCAAAATCGGGTTGTCAATAAATTGTGTTATATATTATTATGTTATAAAGATAGGTATAAATAGTGATCAAATTATAAGAGATAAAAAGAAAATTCAATTTGCAATGTTATAAAAAAGCTGGAGGCAAAATCATCATAGGAAATGAAATTTTAATTCACTTTATTAATAAGTACAAAGAAATAGTCGAAACTGACAAAACAGATGCCGTTACTATGGTTATAAGAAATCAGGGATGTGATTGGACAATTGAGTTTCGACAATGCATTAACAGTCATGTTAGCCATTAGACGGAGCTCCAGAGCAGGAATTAATATTTGTGGCTTGTTAAGACATTTAAGCGGACCTTTGTGCGTGGTGGGACGCTCGATGCATCTAACAGAGCATCAAACGCCTTAGAAAGATGTTACTTATTTAACATTGATTGGTGAAATTGGGTCTTAAGGTTAAAACTTGGCCCACAGATATTAAAGTCTCAAGATAGAAAACTCGTTAGATTAGTTCGAAATTACGATCACCATTTTTTTTTTATTTTATTATTGTTTAAAGTATAACTTTCAAACTTATACATTTTGTAAAGAAATAAAAAGTGATAAATGTAGAACTTGCTCGTATAAAAAGTAAAAAAGTAAAATCCATTAATTTTAATGCCGTGACATCTATGAAAATTATATCAACTTACGTAGACATCAGACATCAGAAGGAGTAAATTGTTAAGTAAACGATCAAGAGATGGCGCTATAAAAAAAAATTTTTATTGAATAAAATATAATTAACGATACTGCTGAACATCTGGCCGCGTGCAAAAAGGTTCCTTGTACCACACCATCGACAGAATATTGCTCTACTGGTATATATCTAAGTCTATACATAGAGTATATGTCTAAGCAGTTTCATAGTAATGCTTCCTTGTAGGTATATTTTATAGATTAACATATTTTTTTATTCGTCACAGTTGATATAACATTGCTTATAAAAAATAAACAAAACATCGTAGGAACGTATTTATTTAACATATTAATACTAACAGCAAATATTTATTACATCAACAATCAAAGTTATCACATGTCCTTCCTGGGAGGTAATATTAATTATTGATAATTACATTATGAAATAAAATTCTATAGATTTTAATTCAAACCTTAAAGGTGTCGGAAGACAACATTATGTAAGCGTTATTTTCATTTACAAGAATAATCAGCAAACAGTAACGAACTATTTAACTTAACATCTGTAATAACATTAAAGAAAATATCTATTAAATTATAAGTAATAGTAATGTAATATTTGTACAAGTTCATGGCATTATGTATAAATATTAATCATCAATAATTTTATGGAACATTAATTCTTTTGTATGTATAAAATCTAGGACCAACCTAATGGTTATTTAACAAGAGTTGCAAAAATAATTGTATTTACAACAACTATAATAATAAAACAGTTACCAAAAACAACAATTGTACTTGTTGGAAACTTAATACAGATAACAATGTAACTAAATAAATTAAGTATCTAGGGCCTAACAATTCACTTATTAGAAGTAGGATATACTTATTAAGATCACAGCTAATAAACTTAAGATATAATACTTGATTGGTTTATTCATGGTACTACTAGACGTCCATAAAGTTCTATGCCGTTTGCATTGTTCATGTTTTATATCGTTGAGACACATGGCGAAACTCATGAAATGTGGTATCGCAGATTGTTCGTAGCTAGATGTGAAGAGATGCTGCCAGGGTCCACTCGCGAAAACAGCAACATCCTCACCTCCGTGGGTTTCCGAATCCAACGGCACCAAACTTGGATAAGAATAGTCCAACTTCCCTATAAGTAACCAGAAGATATTAACATTTTCATTATCATTATTATTTTCTGTCCGAAATTATATACTCCAAATAAAAAATAATATCAGAACAGATAAACAGATAATTCGGTTAATTTGCATTAATCGTGATACTTTGAAGATGATACTGTGATATGTAGTAACTCTTAAAGAGTCTCCATATCACATTAACGCGAGGCATTACAATACTGTCAAAGCCAGTGGCGGCCGGTGGGTAATCGAACTGGTGGTGCACTTTACTAAAATATTAAAATTAGAAAATGCAACAAAACAATATAACGAGATGTCAATCATTACTCAATTCGTCATACATCGGGCGCTCTCGGTAATGTTCGGCCGCTCGTGCAGCGCTCGAGAACCGACTCATTACTCGGTACATTTCTATGAACTATCTTTTGTTTCACGCGCCAGGCGTATTAATGCGTATCTCATACAAGATGTATTAGCGGTCCTCGTGCACTCGCCGAAGCGCACGATATGAGTTTAGTAAAGCGCTCAAGCTTTTTGATCATAATTAGAAAATTTAATTTTTTATACGTTTTTATATGTTTAAAAAATAAATATTAAAATGGTAATTTAAAAATAAAGATGAATAATATTTTGTAATTTTTAAATCTTTTGAATTGGTGGTTCAGCGCACGAGTGCACTTAAGGAACAGCCGCCACTGGTCAAAGCTATAGGATTGGACAAAATTTCACTATTTCTATATGTGTACGCGATTTAATCTCTTAGATGCAACTAACTAGTAATAATTTATGAGAATATTAGATTGCTATATGAAGATTTAAAGAGAAGCATCTTGAAAACTCACTGTTATGAAAATCGCTATCCAAAGACACATCCACTCTTCCTTTATCATTGATCGATGTAGCTTTACCGTTGGCGTAACTTATTGTTGTGTATGGCTTGCCATCTGACCCATGTGCTGTATCCACTAGACCCAGGATATCGTTACCCCTGGACGGGTAACCAGCTACAGTCATCGTGTGTGCGTGGTCTGAGCTAACAACTATCAATGTGTCCGTTTCATTTGTCAAAGATTTTGCTTTTTGTACCGCCTTCGAATATTCTATTGTTTCGTCCAGGGCCAAGTAGGCATAGCTATCGTGATGCGCGTGGTCAATTCTTCCACCTTGATTTAAAGGATAATATTTCAGTTCATTTTTTAAGATAAAAATAAGAAAATTATTTTAATTATATATAATAATTTGATAAGGAAAATAATGTTATAAAATATTTCCCATTTTAATGATCTGAATGTTAAAACTAGGGAAATTGTTAGAAAATCCTTGAATCAGTTGACTATCCTTCTTCCGATTCCTAACAAACGTCACGTTTTATTATAACATTACTTATACTTAAATTAGATGCTCAAAAATGTTTATACCTTCAACAAATAAAAAGAATCCCTTTGGACTCCTTGATAGCACTTTGATGGCGACTTCCACCATCTCTTCGAGGGTTGGTTGGTCCTTAGCTTGTAAGTGGTAATCCATGTGATCATCTTGGAACAACCCCAGTAGGTATTCCGGCAAATCATCTGATTCAAAGACCTAAAAATATGTAATATGCCTTATTTGTAATAAGTTTAATAATGTATAAAGTTTTTTGTATCAATTTAAGGGCCATTTATCTTACTTTCATTAGTTCATTCCTCTCGGTGACGTATTGATGTGTTGCGTTTCTTTCCATTTTATCTTGATGCCACAGCTCAGTGAGATCTACTCCATCTAGTCGTCTGCCAGTGGAATTCGTCAATGGAGATGTGACGTTTGGTAAAAATTCACGACGACCTCCTCCCATGATGACCTGGAAATAAATCAAATCTGTTTAAGTTTGAGAGAATCAAATAGAACCCAATCAAAATTATATTTAAATCCATTTATATAAATTTCATAATAATGAAGTCGTTGAGTGAAATTAAATACAGATACTGTTGTGGTTCTTCATAATATTAATTAAAATTGATATAAATATGACAAATAATATAATCCTTCCAACTAAAATTCGTTCTTAAAGTAAAAAGGCAAAGGCACAAAGTAACCAAATTGCAGTAATAAATATTGAAACAAGAATGAATGAATTGGTTACAAATACTATATAAGAAGTTACTGCCATATACGGACATGTATTCATTTTTATCCAATTCATTTTCGTAATAGCAACTTATATATTTAAAGTTTTGATCAAAATAAAAAAGATTAATGAAATAAAATACTAAATGTGGACACAAAACTATATAAAAAAATAATCATGTGTATTTCACTTGTGTGACATTGATAAAAATTTATTATAACGCCAACCTTTATAATATGTTATTCTTGTGAAATATTAACCATTGTTGGATAATAATTTATGTAACACTTGTACAATAATATACATGTTACAAGTAGAATAATATTATTCTAGATTCTAGAACTATTTGAAATGAAAGGACTAAATAGTTTTCTATTATCTACAGGCACTTGGTCTCGCTTAAGCTGTAAGCCTTTTGAATAATACATTCTGACATAATGATCCAATTATATAAACTAAGAATCCATAACAATCACTTAAACAGGCCGATAAGTTATCTTAGCAAGTAGGTAATTATAACTCTTACCACGGAAGAATTAAAATTATCAAACACAAATATTGTTCGGTCATTAGAATGATATAGACACATGTAATGTTGGATTATAACATTAAATTTACATATTTTAATTAATTATATAAATATCTTTAGCATTTTTCGTCGTAAAAAAGATCACAAAGTAAGCAGCAATCATTCACACAAGGCGTGATACAACCGTCTGTTTATAGCCGACTCCAAGACAATTGCACCATTAATTACTTAGAATATAAGTTATGATTTTAATTTTCTTTTTCATATTGTAAACACATTAAATGTAAAAAAAAATGCATAAATTTCTTGTATGTTTAATGGTAATACTTGTAATAAAATAAAACAATTAAATACAATACGTAAGTATCTACGACGTGAGAATCATTGTTTAAAGTATCTGAATGTATTATTATGTCAATACCCAGGACAGTTTTTAAGAAAATGTTAGTCGTTTTTTTCAATATGTTTCAATCAACTTCTGGTAATTTTTTTACATTTACATGAATAAAATAAATTTGCATTACAATAGTATTATGAAGAATGAAGACTCAAACGAGAGCTATGACACTAATGGAATGACGTACATACGAAGATGTTTATTTAAATGGTTTTACATACATACATACATAATATATAATAATAAAAATATTAAGAAAATCTGTAGAGCAAATCCGTTTTAGTAGCTTAAGTAGTCTAACTAATAAAGATGTTCATACATTTAGTTTCATATTTTTATTTGCTAACCTTGAAGTGTCGTCCAGGATTGCCAGTGACGAGCTGGTAGGCTATATCCTGGCATCCTAAGCTAAGGCATTCTTCTGGTACATCAGCATCTGACTCCCAATTCCGCTCGGATGTATGAGCGTACATACCAGCCGGTGAGGCGTGAGTAACTCGTGTTGTAGTAACCAAACCTGAAGATAAAAATTGATTATAAATACCGAATCAAAAACTAATTTTATATATTTTACTGTCCCTAGCTAATACAAAAAATATAACTAATATTTGTTTGGTATTGTTTCTTTTATGAATAAAATCGTAAAATAATTATTGGTGTAATCGTTTCTTTTTACTCATTCTATGCAACTTACGTCAAAAATATGTAAAAAAATATCTACGTATCATAAATGATTCAATATATATTTTTATTACAGTTTGAAAAAGATTGATCGAATGCTAAACACCGAGGAAGTGACGTCAGACATAATATAGCATTAACTATGGATAAATGTAATTAAGGAATCTTAAACTAGCAAACACGTTACTATTATGATTGAAAAGCAACATGAATAATTAATAATTTCCGATTAAAATTTACTAAATTATTGAATATATTACTGAAGATTTTTGACAAAACACACAGAGAGAATATTCTTTTAGCAAACGTCATCATTTACGAAACTAATATAACAATTTCTTATTATATTTCCTATTCTTTAGTTATTCACTTAATTGTCGTATAATTTGAATGCCAAATACATATTTTTAATAATATAGATATTAAATGAAGAAATAAATATTGAACTTACCAACATCCAATCCGTTCTCCAAAGCCCACTGGCCAATAGAAGGAGACCAGTTCCCTTTATGTAACTGGGATAAGCAGGAACCTCTGGTCACATTACCATCTAATCCAATAACTCCGTATTTGGTCTTTACACCAGAAAGATACGATGTGGCGGTGCACGCTGAATCCGGGACTTGAGCGTCAATGCAGTATGTCTGAAAATAAGGAGAAAAACCAAAGAATTAACCAAAACTTCTCTATGTGAGAAAAGGCCTTTGCTGAGCAGTGGGTTGTCAAAGGCCGATGATGAACCAAAAAGTTCCTTATGCCTTAACTTTCATAGTCTGTTTTGATTATGAAGAAGCAGAAAACAAGACTTCTTCAAAATATTTTAAGTCTACCAGATTTTTATGAATCATATACATAAATCTCATTAATATACATGGTAGTTAACAGAACTGTCAGTGATTTTTTTCATTGCTACCTCATATGTCAGTCTTAAAGCCGTTGTCATTATTTATTTTGTCAATCTCCTGTCCATCCTCCATTGAAATGAGTTTATTGTTTATTGACCTTGAAGATACATTACATAGCATGGCAACGATTTCCTATTGTATTTCTTTCCTATCATTGTTTGTTACTCAAAGTGTGTCTTCAAATAGTTGAAATACGAGTACATTCCATCAAATATTCGAATGAAAAGATTGAAGATATATTAATATTTATGCAATATGTGTTTCAAATTCAAGCTAAAAAAGCTTTGACATATTGCATAATACGTGCCATTTTGTGCCAATCTTTAATGAGCATTTACATACGATAAACGACTAGAAAGAGTCATTTTTTTGATTCAAATTGAATATTATATAATCGAAAGGTCAACAGCATCGTTTATGTAAACATAAACTGAATATTTTGAACCGGAATCTTTATTTCTCAATACATTAAATTAAGGTTAAGTAAAAGTAAATCTTGTCGTTAAGCTAAAAATTTTGAGTGCCAAACAGAATTATCTATTTCCTTATGCTCTGTAAGTATAATTATGATTTAATTTAGATTCCTAAGATAACAATAGAATTATTATTATTACGGATTTCAATAATTTTAATTTTATATATTTTCAAATATTATTTTAGTCTTACAGATATAATTAACGTCATTATCGTCAGGGTTGTCCCCATAAAGTACTAGCTTATCATTTAGAGAATGAATTTTCAAATAACTACGTGCGACCTCTGTAATTTCCTTGAACGTGACACTCGTGACGGCTGGTCAACCACACAACACCAACTTTACCGACAAATTACATTGTTTTTGATGTTCCGGATGACGCTTTCCGACGCAGTAAATGCATATTCCAATATCTCATGTTATTAACAATTGAACCGATAAAGTTTTATTATAAAAGTAACACCTTCGAAGTAATTAACGAATCCTTTCAAAGCAATATGCATTAAACAATACAAAGAAGTTCAATACGTAATTGACAAAATATACACGTGTTTGCGTAGTAAGAATATGATATTTATTCTAATTGTCTACTTCTTGTTAAGTGTACTTAAAGATTGCGATACTGTTACAAGTATATGAACATAAAAATCTTAAAAAAAATAACATATTTCATTGAATAAAAAAACACGTCTGTCTTTGTCAGAACAATCTCGTATTATCTTACGCAAATAATCACACTTCAAGTGTCTAAAATGATTAACTAATCAAAACGGCTTTCGTTTACCTTAAGGTAAAGTACGGAGATATGCAAATATGATAAAAAAAGTAGATAAAAAAACACTCAATTAACAATAATTATATAGATTTTTCCTAGTTTATTTAATCCGTGTAATTAATATAGTTCGTACATTATTCTTGACCACAAATTCTGAGAACAGATACGGAATCGTTTTTTGTAAGTTTCGAAAGGAAATACTTTAGTATTGTATGCCACTGAACCTTTTTTAGAGCTTATTCTGGTAATGATGATAATGAGAACTAAGAGGATATACGTTAAATTCTGAGCTAGTACAAAAAATATCTGGTGGTAGATTCTTTCACCCGTTACATCAGGAAATATTGTCAGGGTTTGTGGACTAAAATGTGGAAATAGTAGGATGGTCTAGTGTTTTGATTGAAAAAATTTCGTTGATTTCTAGTTTCTTATGTCGCTAAAATTACGCAATTGCATCAATTTGCATAATCTATGAAATGTCAATATGACCAAGTTCTTAATTTAACAATAACTTAAAATTAAAACCTTAATTATGCCTACATAATTCTTTTTTTAAATAATATATGTTAATAATTTAACTTTTTACAGGATTCCGATATAGGAGCCTTGAGTTTTCACGTATTTTGTGCTGTTAATATTTTAATTCAGCGGCATATCATTTTCCAAAGAGAAAGAATGTTTTTTGCACTTTTTTACTTGTACTGCAAACATTATTCTCCAGATATTGGGTCGAAACAAATTTTAAAATTGTTCTAGAGCACGAAAGGTTAGAGGTAAGGCATAGATATTAAAGCAAAATCTTGAACATTAATAATAATATATAAGTATGTACCCGTACCACGACCAATAACTGATAGACATGTTGTAAAAATTTAAAAAGGGTCTTTGAGATGAATTAACTCTGCTAGCGTAAATGGTCCGACAATAACTTTCTATTCCACTGAAACTGACAGAAGGGATTTGTTTTGATAATGATACTTAAAGTAAATTATAAGTAAGTTAGCATGACAAGACTTATACGTCAATAATCGTTTTATTTTTTTTTTTTATTTTTTTTTTATGGGAAAAGGGGGCAACTGAGCAGACGGCCTACTTGATGGTAGGTAGTGACCGTCGCCCATTGACATCTGCAAAGTAGATATGCAGATGTGTTGCCGTCCTTGTTTGGGGAAAATGGGGAGTAAAAGGTGGAAAAGGGTGGGAAAGAAAAGGGTGGGAAAAGGGAAAGGGCAATCGGCTCTCTCACTCACCGGACGAAACGTAGCCATTAAAGACTACTTCACGCCGATTTTCTGTGAGAGGGTGGTACTTCCCCGGTCAAGCCAGCCCATGTTCGAGCTGTAGTAACTTGACCACAGCTGGGCTCTACCACCTAACAATAGAATATATAGAATATAGAATTTTATATATAGAATTTGTTGTAATATCCACAATTCTTTAGGTTTTTATTATTGTAGGTTGCATTGTATATATCAACATTCAAATTCCCTTTTTCTTAAACACGACAAAACGTAGGAAATTATTTTGCATACATAAGGATTATTACTTAATGAGTTTGATAGTTAAAGTATTAACAAAAACATATCTTTAATTAAATCAGGATTGTAAAAAGGAGACTGTTAAAAAACTAAATGTAAATTTACTAAGTAGCTCTATTTATTTATTTTTTATTATTATGGTTATTTACTTTGTGATATTTTTTTATTGTTTTCTTTGTTATCTTTATTTTATTTATGTGTTATTGCTCCTACGATCTCCTGTTACTTTTGTTAGACTCGAGGATAAGTTTAATAACCATTTTATTGATATTTATTTTTCAACCTTGCTATTTAGTAGCCAATAAAGTCGTTATAATACAATAATTTTTGGAATGTAACTTCTTAGAAGATTCTTGACCTACTAGATATTACTTGTCAAATATTTTAAATTAGTTTTACGTAAGATTGATTTTGAAACAATTGAAAGTTTATTAATTAGATTTTATTAAGAGAAAGTAGTACTATCTTGTCTCCAAACAACGAATTCCAAGAAGAAAAAAAACTTAAGGGATTGTAAGTACATACATGCGTAGAAAGCTGATGTAAACAAATTATTTTGTTGCATTAGAAGAGCTTCATGAGTAACGCAATTGGTAAGTAAGTATTGATGTATGTTTTATATAGCATTATAGTCAGTTTGATTATACATAGTAAATTTAAGATCGTAGTAAATAACACTGGAAGGTTTATAATTTGTTGACGTCAATATTGACTCAATTACACTTGAATACTTTGTTTTGTGTTTTTTTAGTATTTAAACGTTTATTTTTATAAAATAAAACAATAATTTTAATTCTGTCAAAGGAAAAAAATGTGGGAGTTTATTGGGTTGGATCGAGAAACGAATTAAAATTGAAATTTATTTCTAAATATTAACACTTTGCAATTCTAGCGTATAAAATCAAACAATAAATCGTATAAAATATAAAAACAAAACGAATTCTTTGGTTGTTTCGTATATATTTTTTGCCCAGACGAAGCCACGAGAATTAACTAATAAACGTTTCTTTACACAACTGTATTTATACAATCACAAATATGTATGATTCCTTAATGCACCGTAACGGAAAGAATTTGCTTTATTGTTTAAATTATTAGCAAGTTTCTTAGTCATAAGTGATTTCTTTGTGAATTCGAAGAAATATTTAACCCTTAATAAGATGAGAATTTATATTTTTATACATGAAGTAAGAGTTAAATATTTGTAAACAACATTTTGGCTTTAATTCATTTAATTATACTGATTTGTGCAATCTTTTAATTCATATTAAAACTCATTCGAAAGTAAGAAGTGTCACGGAAGATTGTCCATTGAATTTAAATTTTCGGTCTATTAGGTAAACCGTTCACTTTTTTTTCTTTTTTTATTCGATTACATCAGTTAGATGTTTTCTCTTGGCCGGATGTCAATGGCTTTTGAAGAAACATCATCTTATTATATATAGGAAATTGGGAATTTTTTTCAAATTGATAAAAATTTCATTAATGAAGTATTTGTAATATTCTTTCAGTTATGACAACTAGTACTGCTTGTGTAAATTTATTCAGTGCTTATATGTAATGACAACTTACCCTTGCCAGACCAGCTATCGGGAACTTCTCAAAGGCCAGCACATTATCTTCACCTAGACCCCTCTCGACTTGGCCAGCCAGTGTTCTCGCTGCCATAATAGTTGCGACTGACATTCCATCACCGATAAAGAGTATACCATTTTTAGCTTTATTAATGTTAACGGTTTCTTTCAATTTCGATTTCAAGGCATCCGTAGCAGATTTCTTCCAGAACGATCCATGTTTTTCTTCCAGAGGTATGTATGCTGGATTCATAAGAGTATCCAGAATTTTCTTCGGCTTCGGTGTGGAAACGACATCCTCTGCAAGAATATTTGAAATTATAAAATAAATTTTATTCTATACTGCACTTTAATTTATTAATCTTATTAAACGAATGTTGAATTTTTAAAATGTTCCTCTTATGGGTTTCATAAAGAATATATTCGATTTAAGCGGATTCTATCGAAGAACATATTTTTGTATGGACTTTTGGCTATTGATAACCCTTAACCACCAAGATTAAGTTTCCAAGTAGTTACGAAGTAACCCAAACGTAAAAAGTATATTCATATATGCCTTAAGTTCCTAATACAAATGGAATATCTTTAAGTTTTCTATAACTATATCAACTTCACAATAATACAGAGATGTCTGCAGTTAAGAATTCTGTTTCATCAAATATCTTAATGAACATTGATGGTCAGATAATGTTATGTTTCTAAATGAAAATATGTCACCTACTAGTTCAAATAATGTGTTTAGCCCAGTTTTAATAGAAATTGACAATATCTAACTTAGCGTTCGACAACGCTAATTGGTTGTCCTCTATAATTACTATTATGTACCATAAGTATATAGACATGAGCCCTTATTTATTTATTATCTATAGATATTGTTATACCATCGTATGCTTTATTGATAATATTTTAAACAATATCTTTATGATTTTAGTTATAAATATATACTATTTAATTATAGACTTTCGTTTTCTGTGACTCCAAAAATATTGTGTCATAACAAATTAGATGAGGAGGTAAGTAAAAAAATTCAAATGATCGGGAACAATACTTATGAACCACATATAATTAAGCTATAAGTTCGAATTGTTGAAACATTAGCTATTAAAAAAATTTTGGATACATCCTTAGGATCTTCGAACGAGGTTAGCACTACCGATGGATAAAAAATCAATCACGACTTTAATTTTGATTTTTGCCAAATTTTTTAAATTCACCGTTACATTTCTAGAATCTAGATTATAAATGTTCAATTAAAGATATATTATAAAAAACAAAGAATGTTATAAGGTTATATTACAATTTTCCTGTAGGAAAATATGCTTCCTCCATATAATTATCTAAGCAATTTTGCGTACTTGAAATTCACGAGTGAAAAAGGACTTTAGATTTTTTTATATTAGTTTTTATCCCTAGCTTCATTCGTGATTAATGAATAGTTTTATTTTAACAATAAATATAATGTATAATTTGTTATAATAAAGATTTTTTTTTTAAAACGATTAATCTACAGGTATAATTTATTTAATTGCCACCTTTTAGTTGTATGTTTTTATTCGTAAAATTGTGACACTTTCAACTTGGCTTGTAAACAAGATTTTTGTTAACGGTAATCTTTATTTTATATCTAATAAATAATCCGTTTATTAGAATGACTTAAAAATATAGTTTTGATATGAAATTATTTACAAAAATAAACAGTTAAAGAAGCATTCAGATAGAGATGTCTAGGAGAATCATCTCGTCTGCCCGTGATCACGGTTGCTGTAAAGGAGCCGAAACGTCGGGAGTATATAGTTTTTATCAAAAATCCGCAAAATATTAGTTTCATTTCAATGAATACGACTTGCGAAAATCTCAGATCTCATTATGTCTACGAGATATCAATTATTTAACTACTATATAGTTTTATATATTAAAAGTAACTTTAACAAAGTATTCAATAAGGCTGTTAACATAGAATAGTTGTTTTATGGTCACGTACATGAGTTAATCGATGTCACGTAATGTTTTAACTAAATTTTTCGTCATGCCACCGATATTATTGATCGTAAAAGTCAGATATCGTTTTACATATATTTTATAAATCACATATTTTTTCTACAAGCCTTTATAAGATTGTAAGCTTCGCCTCTTATATTCCATCATTTAATACAAACACTTACAAAAATATATTATCAATATTTTTTATGATTACAATTTATTTAGGTTCTTAAGTTTCATCTTAAATTTACAAACAAAATATTTCCTTTTTGATAGAAAAATAACTAGTTTGATATTTAATTTATGGAATAAAAAGTATGTCGTATAAAACGATATTACTTTAATTTATTTCACCATAATTTATATAATAAACACAATAAATTAAAATATACATAATAATATGATTAACATAACATTAACATGCTACTAGGACAGGAGTTATAAAATTCTATGATTGAATCCGCTAAAAAACTTCGTATAAAACAATAATTTTGTCCGATTTAAAATCGATAAACCAGATCTGTCTCAATAAGTATATTACAAATTATAATACAGAATGACTATATTAAACCATATGTTAGAAAATATATATTGCAAAGATGTTTATATTAAAAGAAATACATTCTTAATTAAACAATAATAAAAATAATACATATGTTAATTTATAAATATTAAAATGTATTTTCCTTTAATAATAATCATAAAAGACGTTTTAAATTTCGTTATTTTTTGTAACTCAATTTAATTATAATAATTTTGTTATCAAATTCTCAATTTTAATAAAAAAAATCCATTAAATCATCTTTTTCTCAATTAATCACTCCTTTATCTGTTATTTTTATTCACGTTTTAATATAAAATCACAAATAAAGAAACTAAAAGTTAAAAAAAATCTTTAAAACCAACATACCTGCGCCTGCGCACGTTATTACGAACAAAATAGCAATCAAGCGCACCATCATAGCCGTTCGACCGCGTTCCCGCGTCCTAACCAACTGCACTACAGCCATCAGCGTGTTACAAACGATTTAAAAGTTACCAGATAATTATCTTTTATATATCATTTAACTTAAGATTAAAGATAAAACGGTTTATCTTTTTGTCTTATTTATGTTTGTATTGCTACACTTATTATTGTAATTCTAATTAATATATTGTACGATATTTATATGAGGATATAAGATTAAATTTTTATTTTATTGATTTGTAAGCAAAGAAATCGCGATTGTGTTCTTTTTGCAATAACGGTGTTTTAAGGCTGCTGTTCTTTTAAGACTGAACGGGTTTTTATAGAACCTGTTTTAAAGAACCTTTAAAAAGTAAAGGAAAAACATTGAATCATGATGATGAATATTTCGTTTATCGCATACAGACGCTAGATTTTAATTTAGTAGAAAAAGTATGTTAGAATTAAAATTTATTGTATTTTGCGTATTTTTGACTTAAAATGTATTAGTATTACCTTATTATATAAAAGAAATCCTACATAGTTATATTAGATTTTGAAGTATTTTTGATATTTTAAAAATAATATTTCTGTACAGATAATCTTAAACATAGTACGTAAAACTTTAATGAAGAGATTTGTTGATAGGTTTGTATGAATGAAAAATGTGTAAAGTTAAAGAAAATAATTAATTTCAAATGAATGTTATTTTCGTTAAATGTACCAAATGCTTTCATTACTGCTTAGCCAATACAAAAAAATAACTTTCTTCGCTTTTAATTTGAAACTTTAGCTGCTGAGATTATAATAATTAATAGATTGCAGAATAATTTTAACAATTTTTTACATATTCTCATAGATTTTTGGGACATAAAAATTATTCTAAGCACATACCAGCGCTCTGGAGAAGTTATTTTCATGCTAATGTCAATTTAAAAGTTTTACAGGAATGGATATGAGACAAACAGTTTTATTATTGAGCAATATTTTGCATTTATAATTTTAGTAGAACATATGTTCATATATTCCCAACATTGATGTCAAGGTTCATAAAAAAGTGGTCAAACTATACACTTTGTACTAAAAACAGAATTTACCTCTGATATCAAGTTTAACAACAAATTGATGGACTTCCGTACTTTTATTTGATCATCACAAGTAATATATTGATTTTGGTTTGTAAATTGCTAGTAATTGAAGAAGTATTTTAGAATTTATATTAAAACTAAACAGCCCTCTTTCATCTTTTCTAGATAGACCGTGATCACGGTTACTGCAAAGTAACCGAAACGCCGGGAATATATATTTTAAAATAACAAAATAACAAAATTTAATTTTAGTTCAATGAATAGTAACCAAAGTCCTAGATATTATTTAAAAAAAATCAGCTTTGAAACCGAGATCCACTTTTAAGTAATAATATGTACATATATCTATCTTATAAAACGTAATATGTAAGAAATAATATAACATAAAAATATATACTAGGTATTTTTTTCAATAATCAACTCTCACGTGTTCGAACTATTAATTAAAGCAATTTTATTTATCATCAAAGTATTACATTTATTAAATGCTCTCAATATGTAACTATCACATGTAACATAATGTATTCTATAGAAGCATTTAAACTGTAATAAAACTTTAAAAAATTCTTTAACGTGTTAACCTAATTATGATTTCAATCTAGACAAGCAACGTCGCAACTAGATATACGAGTATAATTCTTTATCAACTATGTTATTATGACTACAATACAATAATCTACTTTAATTGAATTATGTTGTAATTGTGATAACTTTATATTCATAATAACTATTCTGCAATAAATATTGTATTATAAATATTAATTATATGTGCTTCGATTCAACGGACCTAAATAAATATGAGGCTGTATCTTAAATTTGATTATAATATAAATTAATATTTAGTAAAGAATGATTTTAAAATAAGCCTTGAATACATTTATATAATTTTTTAAAGATGTGATATATCCTTACCGTAATATCCACTAACAGCGTTTATAAATACGAATATAAGTAAATGAGATAACATTTCAAAAATACGTGGTCAGAGAGACAATAGTACCCGACTGAGGAATATCTCTTCCAGTTGGGTTTTATAGCTGGGATTTGTTAGTAAAAATATAAAGATATATAGGCTGTTTAATGAACACATTGATACTGATTTTTCTTGATTAATATGTATGTATATGTATATATGTATAATATATGTGTGTGTGTTATTATGTACATAATAACGCAAAGTTTGCAAAATCTATTATCTTCTTAAAGAGATTAAAGACTTTTGCGAATATTCATTTAAATAAAACTAATATTATCGGAGGTTATATACTGAGATGTTTTGGTAACATTACAGCAACCGTGATCACGAATCATTATTTTGTTATTATCTCCTCGGTAATAAATCATTTATATTAAAATTATTTATTTTATTTACGCACATTCCATTAGTTATCGAAGTAATGAAATTAAAATTTAACTTTACAAGAACATTGACTGCCATCAAACTGTGAGCGGAATATACAGGTACAAATTTGCTTTTAGTTTTTATTTATTTTTTCCTTATATTACATACATTTATTTATTGTTGAACTTTGTGAAACATCCTGTATATATAAAGCACGCCGACCCGCCGTGGGACCACCGCTGACGTACTCGTCTATGTTATCAAGAGCAAAATTTTAATGATTACTGTCGTAACTGAGATTTTAAAAACAATTATAGCAACTCACATTAAATACTTACACATACATGATTATTTTATTTTAAATGTTCTTCAATATTTACGTAATTTAGATAAATCGTTAATGTATATATATATATATATATATATATATATATATATATATATATATATATATAAAATGTTTATTTTTAATAAAAAAAAATTTCATTTTTTCTATCTGTCGAGCGCTATTGTATATGCTATTACACAAAAAAAATTAATTGATTGCCCAATACGAAAAATTTTATAACATTACATTTAACAATATAAATTCATGAAAAGTATTTGAAGTATAATTTGCATTGTTCCATCAAAAGTTGAACTTTGATTGTGTCGAATAAAACGCAATATTTTATTTTATATGATAATTCATTTATCAGAATCATATCAGTCATTTTCTGTCCTCTCGAATCGGGAGATAAAAAATCAGATCGCATCTTCATTCAAGATAATAACCTTCAAAAAACATACGTTTCACAATGAGAGTATTACATAATGTGATTCTGAAAAACGATATATTTTACCTGTCATATTATGTTGACAATTTTGTCTTTATTAAAATTCAAGTGCTTATGTGGGCTTATTAACTGTATCAGTTTTAGTACACTTGACACTTGGCACTTAAAACAGCCTATATTTGTAATTTCGTGTCAATTTACTAATTGAAAACTACATATTTGATATCAATTTGATTATATTCTTTTCTCTCCTGTCACTCAAGATTACAAAGTATCAAATCATGACGACAAAAAAAACACCTATTTCCGTCTTTTCAATACGAATAAATAAATTTGTCAAGACTTATCTGTTTACATAATTATATTTACTGTCGATATAAATGAAATATACGACTAGCGCGTGTTCCCAATATTTTCTCGTGAGCATCGTATTTTTAATACAACCATTTGATTAATTTAATTATTTGGCAATTTCAATATGAATTAAAATGATTAGATGTTTTGAAACAGTAGCGAATGATATAAATTTTGGTTTCCATGAAAGTGTCTTTAATATACTATTATTAATATATTTTTGATTTTTATATATTGAAAACTAAGCTTCATAATCAGAAAAAATTATTGGGGTGCTTGGCACCGCTTTTGAAGAAATAAATCTAATCCACACAGACTTGTTAATAGATTATTTCTGAAATAAAATCCTCATCAGAATATTACTATTAAATAATAATAGTTTTATCCAATATATTTTCTATAACAGGTGTAATCCTAGAAATTGTTTATTATTTAGTACATAAAAATCAGGTGACAAGGATTGGAGGCCACAAGATACGTGCAATACGACCACAATTGCTATGAGAATAACTCACATCCTTCTTAACATCAATGGCGCCTACACAATGCGTGATGCAAGAATGAATTTCGCTGGATACTGTTTTAGGAACTTAGAAAATATATACTATATATTAATCATTCTATACTTTAAAGATTTGAAGAGATTATTAAGAGAATAGATTTTTAGATATACAATACTGTTCAAAAACAGCAAAATGGTTGTTTTGGAAGGGGAAGTTGGATATTGTGAGATGGTAAAAAATAAATATGTATGGAAAGGATCAAGACTTTCACAAAATAGTAAAGTGTATCTCGTAACGAAATTCTTGCAAACAATTTTTAGAAGGATATTCAAGGTCACTTATATAAGCAAGTATTCTAATCTTAAAAACATGATATCGTTACCTTTAATATAAAAAAATAAGAAATACGTGGTGTGTAGTATATTTTCTATAACAACAAAGAAAGTACCAGCTATTGCTACATAAAGTGAAATATATAATTTAAAATGTAATTAGTTTAATATAATAACGTTGACTTACTAATTACTTCTAAATAATTTTTGAAGAAGTACTTAATTTTTTTACAGAAATCATAAGTTCAGGACTAAACTGATAAGTGACACTGTTCAGTATTTACGCCTAGTTAAATGATTCGCTTACTTTAATTTTATCTCTAACCTTATTTTATTATATAATAGTGTATTGAATGTCACATACCACCAAAATATATTTTATTGAAACTGATTTAATAACAATCGTGTGCCCTAATTTTATCAAAGGTTGACTTTGACCTTTCAGTGTCGAATCTTAGTTCTTTTATGTGTGTATTGTTCGTTGTTTTAACAAGGTAAAAAGAGAGAGACTGTAATATAATAAATTAAATAAATGTTTGTTTTATATACCTACGTATAATAAAATATATTAAATACTGGACCAAAAGAAAATAGGCACACATTGCATTAGTGTCTAACAATGAGATACACTTCTTTCGACCTTGATGGGATACAGAAGAAGAAATGAGG